ATCCTGGAGCCAACCCTACTCCTCATTCTAACCTTCATCTTAGTAACAAATGGTTCATACTTTCAAGAAAGAGAGAATACTTTGACTCCCACCTTGTCAGGCCCTGCAGAGCTCTGCAATGAAGGCAGCTTCCAGTGGTGAGCTTGGTTCCTGCCATCCACAGGTCTACTGTAAACCGAACTCTGACAATTTCTCTACTTATAACCAGCTGCTCATTTCTGTTGTAGCTTATAAAGCACTGGCTCCAGCTGGCACAAGCTTTCTTCTTAACTGTAGTCCTTACAACATCCAGCAATAATCCAGGCCTTCAGGCTTTGAACTCCCAGTCCTGGCTCTAGCTGTAGCATCAGCATAATTATACCCAGAATACCATGCCTTCAGAGAAAGATAGTGTAAAGTGAGGCCCCCATGTAAGATCCATTGATGTCCTGAATGTGCAAGCCCCAGAGCATTCAGCTATAGTCATAATTCCCTAAGGTTCAGTTTTCTGAATCTTAACCATTGTCTTTAATCAAGGAATTAATCTCTACAGCTAAAGAACATAAAACGTATTGACACTCTCAATCTTATCTCCATGAGCCCTATAGTCTCTTCATCGTGTTTAGATAGCTGTAGGGGATATAGCAATAGGATTCTGCTTTGAAGATCCAGTTAGATGGCATTCTTCTTGTGTAAGTGTTTGTTTGTGAATTACCTTCCTACTCAGAGTTTTCATCAGTTCCTGGTTATTGGCAGAGTGGGCTGTTTGCACTCAAATCTTCTTCCTCCCTTTTCTGCAGACCTTGACTCTGCTTGTCAATAAAGAAATGAAAGGGAGGTGGGCTTATTCAGCCTCAAGAAGAGAGTGGGATCTGGCCAATGTGTGTAAGTGTCTGACGGGAGGGTGTCAAAAGGATGAGGCCAGATTCTTCTCGGTGGTGCCAAGTGATAGCACAAGAGGCAATGGGTATGAACCAAAACAAAGGAAGTATGAGGAAGAACTTCGTTACTGTGCAGGTGACTGAACATTGGAATAGATTGCCCAGAGAGGTTGTGGAGCCTCCTTCCCTGGAGGTATTGAAGAAGGTGGCCACACAGGCTCCTGTATTGAGCAAGGTTTGGGGAGAGTGACCCATCAAGGGAAAATGATGTAGCCTCTCCAGCTGCTGGCACTCTGGGCAGCTGAAATGCCCACTTGAAGACCGTTCTGTGAGCCTTCCTCCCAGCCCATCTCCTTTTCTGCCCTCTCTGGCCTTTTTGCAGAGAGCAGGGCAGCACCCACCCAGCCACTAGCAGGATTGGGGGAGCAGGCTGCCCTTGCCCTCTGTACTGTGTGTGCAGGGTGTGATGCTGGCAGCAGCTGAAGGAAGAGCAGAAGAGGCTGTCGCTGTCTCCATCTCCAGATGGGAGAGAGTGAGCAGCAGCCTGTATGAGTTAGGAAAACGCTCTCCCTCTGGATATGTGAGTTCAGGCAGGGCCCTGTGCAAACACAGTGAAATCATCTCACAGTGTCTCATTTGTACTGCGCTGTGCAGTGTTTGAGCTTATCATAAAAGATACAGCTGTTCCATGTTCTCTGCAAACCACTCTCCGTACCTGCCTTCACTTTCACCTCCTCGCGGTGTGACTTTAAGCCTTCCTTCAGCCCAGCTATTTACTCCTGGCATCTCTCTGAGGCCTCACTAAAACCTGAGCTTTGCTCAATACTACACCCACTATCCCTCCTGTATCCTAAATTTGTCAGTAGTGCTCAGCTCAGGTCTTTTAAGCACTTTGTTTCAGAAGAGATCCCAAACCTGATACATTCCTGCCCAGAGTCTCAGACCAAGTGCCCCTGCAGCCCTGTCTCCTTCATTAAGCATAAACATTGTGTCAGCTTTGTGACTGTTACGTGCGTAGCAAAGTGTAGTCTTACCGTTTGCTTAGAAATAAAATGAATGCAGTACCAGTTCACCCAGTTTTGTGCTCTGCAGCCATTGTGCAGCTTAATCTGACATCAGCTTGCAGAGTGGTCAGTTAAGAGCAAAGCGCTGTCTGCTTTGTAACTTCACTTTTAAAAAGTCTTCCTGAGGAAGCAGTATCTGCACTCTTTGTTTCTCTTTTTTTTTTTTTGCAAATTCTTCTCCTTCCTCAGAAACTTCTACATCCTTTGTCCAGTTCTAAAGGTATTTGACAGCAGGAGAGAGAGCATTAATTTTCACAACAACTGGTCTCTGGGTATAGAGGAGCCCCAAATCAGTGTCTCAGTTGAGCAGTTAGTTCCCTGTTTGGTTTTGCCTGTCAGCTGCCTTTTCAGTACACGTGTGCTTTGGAGTCAGACGCAGCACATGCTGCCTTGTCTCCACCGTGGTGTTCTCAGGAAACAATTCCTTCACTCAGTTGCCCTGGAAGGCTTGAAATATTTAAACCTGGCAGCGATGAGTCTTGCAAAGACAGGTATAAAGAAGGGATTTCAGCTGTTCCACAGCATTTGGGAAAGTTACTACCTTACAAACCATTAATGTCACGGGATATTTTAGTAATTGTGGCTTAAACACCTCTGCTTTGTAGGGATCAAGTTTGTGGGGGATCACCCCGCAGCTCCAAGGACGAGCTGTAAGGGGGTGCAGAGTTGTCTCCATCACACCAGAAGATGGGGCTACCTGAATTGCAGGTGGGATTGACAGGTAGATGCTTGCAGTAGGGGACTGCTGCTGCATCCACAGCACTCCACGAAAGGCCCTCACCGGTAGATGGAGTGGAACAAGGTTACTGCCCAACATCTGGCTGCAGGCAGGCTCCAGTGCAGTCAGACACAGGTATCTCACCTGCTTCCAGAGGAACAGAGCTGGTTCCACTCGAGATGAAATGACCTAGCAGGGAAGTTACATCAGCTCAAACACAGCCTCATAGAGCCTCTCTCAAAAGACTCGTATTACTCTCTAGTAGTGCCTCATGTGAGAGAAGTTATCATGCTCTTACTGAATGCTTTGAAGCAAAGGAAAAGTTTCGGTGTGATCTATTTTTTCCTGTGTACTGGAGTATAAGCTTCCATAAATATACCTTTTCTTCTGTTTTAGCAGTGAATTTTGCAGAAGAAAGTCTGCTGCCTTTTTATTTCCTTGAATGGTGGATCTGGAGCAGAGACGATCCGATATTCGAGGTGCTGCTCGGCCCCAGGCGCAGCAGGGATGGGCACAGCAAGTCTGACGTAAGAGATGAAGCGTGAGCACAAGGTGGCACTAATGAGGTACGGAGGGGACAGTGTCCCTTCACCTCCATGCTCAGCATGCCCCTGAGGATGCTGGACATTGTGAAATCAGCTAGCCAAGACAACATGAACAATTCATGAGATATTTATGTTTTAAGATGCATAATCATACCCTTCCCTCTGTCCAACAGATTAGAAATGTCTGCTCTCTGAAGACATGAAGCATGGGTGTTTTTAAACACGCAGGTTTGTACTACCATTGAATCGTTAGGATGGGATGTGTGTAGAAGATCCCAGATGGTGAGACACGTCAAAGCTACCCGTATGCTCATAGTACAGGGAAAGGGAGAAGCAGAGTGGTTTGCTTGTCTTCCTACAACAATAAAAAAGGGGGTACTAAAATACTGCCTTAAAAAAACAACTCATTTCTGAACTGGCTAGAAAAAAATAGAGAAAATCATTCGTAGTTTTATAAAACATTGAACACAAATGTTTGTGTTCAAGGGAGTGGAAAAGTGTCCTGATGGCATTTCTGGGTATTGGTTGGATTGATACTGTGATTCATCGCTTGCTTGAAGTTTTACACAGAGCTGATTCAGGGTGGTCACACAAAAACAAATCCGTGCATAGGCCTGGCTGTGGTAGTGTGGGCATCCAAGTGCCAGTCTGGAACTGCTGACATTCAGTAAAACTGCTCTAAGTTTTCCCGGTAGTAAAGTCCCCAGCAATGTCAGGATGGTAATTAGCAATTGATTTTCATCTGGCAGCTTGCCATGTGGTCAGAGTGACAGACACCAGAACTCTTTAACACATTTAATGGGATTTCTCCTTCCATTTACACTATCATAAATTACAAAGCATATTTCACTTCACAAAATAAAACCATTTCCAGATCATTTTTATGACAGTATTAAGTAGTACATAACCTACAACAAATAGTCCTGTACAAGGCAGGAGGATCTATGGATGTATTGGGAACTCAGACTATTTAGCATTTGCTCTGCAATCTGGGTTAATCTATCTAGCCCTTAGTTATTTCTCTAGGAGACGACAAGTTTACAGCCATACCCTCCACCTCTCTTCATTATCATAGTTACAGGTACTTTTCAATTTGAATAGAAACATGTGCTCCCTGAAATAATTCAGGAAATGGCATCACTGAGTTACCAAGCATATGATACAAATGATCAAGATGAAGGGTTATTAGATTCTTTTTTCTTTGTATTGAAAATTGAGTTTGGTAGTGAAGTATATGTTGATTTTCTATGCTTGCAGAAAAATCTCATGCTGAGAAACAGTTGTAACATTAGGAATAAGTTGCAGTTAGACTAGGAACTCTGTAGGTCAATGTGTGAGGGGCGAAAAATAGTAAAATTTGGTAATAATTAAATGTCCCAACCCCCACATTTCCTACTTCTTTTTTTTTCTTTTTTTTTTTTTAACAAACCATTGGGAAACACATTCAAGATAAATACCTACATTTTTAGCAGATTTACTGTACATTTATAAATACAGAAACATGACAAAACATAACTCGCTTTTTACAGAAAAACCAAATCCTTCATATTGAACCCAAAAAAGTGCTAACTTTTCAACAAGGCCAGAAAATATCCAGTGTCCCAGCATCACTTAACTTACATATTTCTGTAATCCAAGAAAAATCTGACATGTGAAACTGATTCTACCACTAGGACTTCTGAGAAATTCTCAATACTGTATTTTACCTGGGAGTTAAAAAAAAAAAAGGAGAGAAAATACTGTATGTTTTGGGAACCAGCAAATGGCTAAAAGTGTACAGTCTTAGGGTGCTCGTGCCTAAATGCAAAGAAACTTAAGAAAAGCTGGAATATACAAAGAAAACAAAAAACTCCTAATAAAAGAGGTATGTCAGGATAATACTGCAATAGTGGTAATTGTTTTCAATATATCATAGCAGAAATGCAAGAAAGAATTATGTGGAAAATAATCAATGCACCGCATTGATTATTAGTTTGCTAAAATAAAATGCTGCTTTTTTCAGCTAGGTAAAGTAAAAATATCTTTATAATATAGATTCTGTTTCACAATTGACATATATAATTATGTCTTATGGAAAGGGAAATGTATAGGCGTATACAAGTAACACTGATTAAGTACCTTTTTGCTTCTCTAGCCATATTAAAATACGTTTTATGTTTCTTAATAAGTTAACAATAAAATTGTTTGCAACTTCTCAAAACAAATATACATCTGGCGCAAGGCAAAAGATACAAGGTAAAAGGATTTTTTCTGACCTTTTTCCCCCCCCTTCTACAAAGAGGCATATGTCTATGAGACATAGGCTTTCCCTAAACATTTTGGCATCCATCTGCAACTTTGCAGAAATTGAAGTGCAGTCAAGGAACTTTCTCCTTTCTGTTTAAAAAAATTCAAAGAAATGTTTCTCCTTCAAACTAATCGTTTTAAAACAAATGGCTTTGAAGATATTCCTCTCTCTGTCTAAAAGAGAACATCTTCATTTTCTATTAAGATCTGCACAATTAACTTCTGGTACCGCATGTCGTTCAGCGTAGCAAGAGTACTGTCCTCTGGAGGTCTCATTAAAGTAGGCCCAAACACTATTCCCAGGTTTTCAGCATTCATAAAATTATCCTTTTCATGCAAGGTAACCCTAAAATAGAAGGAAAAAAAGAAGGAAAGGTAAGTAGTTGTTTACTTTCCAGAAGAAAGAATATATTGCATCTTAATGTGCGTCCTGCTTCACATCAAGTATCAGTAGATAAGGATATTTCTCAGTAACAAGTTTTACTTTCACTCAGTATAGTAACTGTTTCCACAGCAAGTCCAATGCAGCTATGGTGGGGCTGAGATTTCCAGTGCCTTTATACTTCCCTCATGCGACTCTTCAGTGATTTTTACACTTTAGGGTATAAGAATTAGTGGCAATTGCTTTTTTGAAAAGCATAATCATGATTTAAATGATGATGTGTGGAGCAGTCCCCTATGCTACAGTGACTACAGTTCTCTGCCATGTTGTACTTGGTGTGCATCACACCAGAGGTGTGGGTGGGCTTCCCAAATACGAATCCAGATTTTATATTGATTACCAATGACCCCCATGCTCCCAGACATGCTTCCAGCCTGCAGGAACAATCCGTTCCCACATTTCTGCCTTGCTGTCTGACTCAGGCCAACCAGTAACTGAGTGATTCTGATTACTTGTAATACTTCAGAAGTAGGCTCAATCCTGGAGCAGCTTGGAGAGGCAGCTTGCTAAAGTCAGGCTGCTACAAATGCCATCTATCCTTGACAGAGAACAGGGGCTCCTCTAGGAAGGAGCCCAGGCTGTTTTGTTCCCTGACATGTGTCATATAATGTAAGAATACAAGAATAGGTAGACTATGTGTGGCTGGAGTAGAGAACACCAAGGATTGGCCATGCTGCAGAGAAGTCAGCCCTGGCTGGAAAATCAATCAGGCCTGCTGGAAAATGCAAGGCGTGCTCAAGGTTTTCCTCTGGGTAATAGAGCTGGGTCGCACCAGCAAGCCTTTGGCATTCAAGTTTGGTTTGGAGAGTGTTCTTGCATTGCAGTGTAGAGACAACCATGGTCCCTTGAATGGTCACTGTCCCTCTTGGACCAGACACTTGCTGTTACTATGTACAATGTAAGTTCATCATGGAAGTCCTCTGCCAGGGTGGAGCACATCTGGTATTGTAGCCAGCTCTCCTGGAACAGCTGAGACTGCCCCAGCCATGGCAATTCCAAGCTGGGCAGCAGTGGATTCACTCATGCCATAAGGGGATGAGCAGTCTGAAACTGTTCTTCTGTTCTGAATCTGGTCTTCCCTTGATTGCAAGGTCGTTAAATAACTAGGTCCTGTTCCTACTATTGGCTGTCTGCAAAGAGTGGCTCTGTCACAGAAAAACACCATTCCTCTTTGCCTTCAGGACAGAAGTCCATTAATGCCCCTACTCACAAATACATCCTTATCTTCTAGCACGGATACATTGGCTGGGCTTTGCAAGGAGAAAAGATAAACCAAGGCTGACATGCCTGTGCAAGTGTATATGTAAGATTCTGCTTTCCATCTGTGGATGTATGCAGCGCAGATGTTGAACAGCTATTCAGTGCCACATGCATCTTGCTAGCATCTCTGTGCAGGAGAGCTTGCTGGTGTGGGGTGAACACACAGAAGATTCACAGCTTCACTGCAATGTCACCATGGATGGAGTTGTATGTATTTCACCACATGGGGGACTGCTCGTGCTATTGTATTTCCTTCAGTTTTGAGCAAAAAGTTATCACAGATATAACTGAAAAAAAGTAATTAAACCATTGACTGACAAACTCAATTTTCATTGCTGAAATTGCCCTTTGCTGGATTTCCCTGTGCTTTTAACAACTCGGTGCAGTTTCTTTTCTGTGGAGAAACAGTGCTGGTGTAGAGGCTGTGATCCTGCAGTCTTTACATAGGATCCTTGAATGGGCACATTTTCTCCATGCAGGAAGAGGCCTACGGGACTGGAGTTGGGACTCTATGCTTAATCTCCAACAGATTCTCCATAGGAACTAACATGCATAAAAAAATAGGTTCTGCTTGACTCCTGGCTTAACCGTGATGCGAGCAAACAACTTGATTTCTGTGCAGACACTGAAAGCTATGGTTTGGGAGAGGAAATTCATTGCGTGACTTGCAGGTATTTAAGAGAGAAGCTTGATCAGCTGTTTGGACTATTTCTGTCTCATCCGCAGCTCAGCTCAACAGCTGAACCAAAGCCTGTATTGCAGTACATGAAAAAGAAGGAAGGCAAGTTAATACTTGTCTGTTATTGATTCTGTATGCAAGTTGCTTGTCTATAGCTTCCACAGGCTTTCTTAAAAGCCAACGTGGTTCATCCCGAGTTGTCCATGTATATGTGCTGACAAGGGCGTATATTTGCACATCTCATTTCAGCAGAGTCCAAAGAAGTTCCAGCATGCCTCAGTCATGTGTCATCGAAAGGAAAAATTACTCAGTTGTAATGACCTGAGCCAATTCAAAATGAGGAAAAGTCTCTGCATAATGAGAACCTGATTGAGCATGAAATGCACTTTACACAAGCTCTCTGATGAAATTTTATGTGACTTGAGGCCTTTTCCTTTGTACATTGGCATTAACAGTGCAGAATAGCACAGATCAAAACCAGAAAACACTCCAAATTTGCAACTGTGCTGCAAGTAGTGGCTCAACTAAGCAGAGATCAAGGATTCACTGTATAAAAGGTAAGTATTCTATTCCTGCCTTAGCACTATAAACTTTAGCCAGAGACCAGGGTCATCTTGGGCAGTACATCATTAAATGAAGGCCTGCTTTGAGATGACAGGGCTAGACTTTACTCAGCTTTGGTTTTTGAAAACTTACAAAGAAGACTTCCTGGGGCATGTAAATACCTAAAGTAGAAAAGTGGAATTAGCATGGTTTTGAAGAACAGTTTTGCTTGAAATTAGTGAAATTGAGGCACCCTCTTCGGAGCACTTCATAATTTTCCTAGGTACCTGTTTGGAAACTTAGAAAACTTGTCAGTACACTCCCAAGTCATTTCAGAAAATGAAATATAGGCCTTATGAATCCCTATGTACGCGTTATGAGTGCCTAAAGAATCTTTGGAAAGTGAATGAGGCAGAGCATGTTTAAAACAAATATAACGGGTAATGGCCTGTATTTCTTTTACTAGTCATATAAAAATAGGCCCTGCTTGATTCTTGGCTTAACTGTGATGTGAGCAAACAACTCATAAAAGACAGCTCTTTCCTTTTAGGGTTATCATTCAGGAAGACAAATCAGGAGGTAAAGAGAGGCAGAAGCGAAGCATGATCAAGTGACTTACTGCAGCACATCTAGTACCTACCATTCCAGTATTTCTCAGATATTATCTGTCTCAGAAAAACATGACAAATTTCAATTAACTCTTCGAAGGTTTGCGGTGATCTGTCAGCAAAAGGATCTATGCTGTATGTGTGCATGGCTTCTATGTGTTTAAACAAACAGAGCTTGTCTGCTGATTTATAACATTATTGGTTTAGTGGCAGTGCCCTAATGGAAGCTTTATTGGCACTTTCTGTAATTCTCTCTTTCAAAGCAGAAAATTGTTAAGCTCTTCAAGAATTATCCTGCATGCCAATTAACTTACTTTTTGAGATGAATCATTAGGTATCTGAGTGTCTCGTAGTGAGCAGCAGGGAGTAACATCAACACTTCATGTATTGCTTCTAGTCGTTCATCAGGATTGGAGATTTCTGTTAAAACACCAAACAGGATTAATGTTAATAGGGCTTTCCATTTGTACACAGCCATAATTCAGGAAGCGAACTTGTTATTATGGAGTCATTTACAAGCCATTGAGTATGCTTGAAGGGATAAATATTAAACTCATAAACATGGAGCTTATCAGTAACTTCTGCATACTCAAAAAAAAAAAAAAAAAGCTTTACAAAGAAATTATCAACAAAGGCCACCCAATAGTTGTCTTTATGGTCTGTAGCTCTATCTGCAGCCCTGTATAGGTACAGTACCTGAGCTTTGTTAAGTGCTTCATAATACTCTGCCCAGAACTGACTCTCAAATCTAAAGTAAGATTACTTCCATTAAGCTTCAAAACCAGATGGGAGTATGGATATACGCTTTTAGAGACTATGCCTTAATATATAAGTTTAGCTAGAGATTGAAATGACATGGAATTGCATAAACAAAGATTTCAGAACATATTTAAATATGTAGGTATCAGTGATGAGAGAGCATCGGTGCTCATTTAAGACTGGCAATCTCTACAAATCTGATCAGGCTTTACACGTGTTTTACGTGAAAAGTATAGATTCCTAAGCTGTGAACTGAGTCAGAGATATTTGCTGCATGACTTTCCATAGAAATGGCACCAGGACACCAAAATTTTAGAAAATTAAGAATCTCTGAATCCTGCTTTTAAGAGATTGTTGTATTGACATGATAGGAACTGCTTCCTCAAGAAAGAATAATTTCTCTGCCAAGAAGGGAGAGAACAGTGCAGGAGAGAGGTACCTGTGGTTGCAGGTGGGGTAAGCCAAAGAGGAAGGGAAAGCAGCAGAGTCCCAGACACACTACTCTTCCTGCTGCTTATCGATACACAGGGTGCCATTTCAAAATCATTAAGGATACTTTTTTAAAGAAGAAATGTTACTTCCTAGATACTTCAGGTCTTTGACATTTTTGCTAATAAACTGATTTCGATGCAAACCATCTCGTGAGTTTTCATTAAGGACCATCAGTAAGTGGAAGGCTGTGCCCTGGAGAGCAGAATTTGAGGCAAAATGGCGGGGAAATGGAACACACACTCAAGGCTCACACTGTTATCTCAGCTCTGACCCCTCACTGATTACTTGGTCTTGCATGTATCTGTCAGCCAGCACTGTGGCTGTGACACCAGCCCTGGGATCCTCCCACTGCCAGATGCACTCTTGCAATGGCGGTGGACATTCCGCCTCTTGGCACAGAATCTGGGTCATTCACAAGAAAAACCCCATCCCAGGGCATGTGTTGGCTTCACTGACTGTTGCTGAAACCACACTTTCTGAAACTGGTCAGTTATTTTGATACACTGCATTTACTTTTATTTTTTTACCCTGCCTGATGTCCAATCTGATTAACAATCAGGCAACAGTTTCTTGTGAAAGAAGGACATAGCAGAGAAGCAATGAACAGAACAATGCCCTTGCTTCTAATTTGTTGCCTGTCTTCTTTTTCTTTAACATGGACAGCTTTATGGATGGGAAATGTGGTTAAAGGTTAGTACAAACTACTATGCAATACTTACTTGCTGCCTCTATGAACTTGGAATAGGTGTCATAGGTGATCACAGGAATGGGTAAGTCTCTGAAGTATAGTTTCAGTGCTCCAGCAATGATGTTTATGTCCGGATAAATACTGGCAGAAATATCAGCCTTGTCGCCATCTAGAAGAGGAGGAAGAAATCTTTTGAAACCAGGCTAATTCTGACTGAAACAAGACTAGGCTTCTAATGTAGATTTATTATGTCCAATCTGACAAGAAAAAATAACCTGAAAGCATTTGGAAGGCTTAAATGAAAATATATTGCTACCAAATACACTCCATATGAATGAGGAATGGTAGTTCTTTATCTTTTAGCAAACAATTTATTTGCTTACATCTTTTGGAGGGGCTGATGATTACATCAACATCTGCAGTGTACCATCTCACACATAATGTTTTAATGTGGGATGAAAAATCATGTTAATAATATATTTATTGAATTTAGCCCATTCACTGAAAGTAAGCTATTAATAACTTGTTCTGATGTTGTATTTTGTATCTGCAGATCAATGTACAGAAGTATGAACCATTCTTTCCATTTTCATGTGGAGAAACAGAGGCACAGATAAATAACATAAATTTTCATCGACCCTCGGGAGGCCATTGGGAAAAGTCAGAGTAAACATCCAAATATACCAATAAGCTAGGCAGAAAGCTGCCTTATTTTCTGGATGTCCTCTAATCATTAATATTTGACTTATTTACTGCAAAGATTTGAATTTAAATAGACACGCTATGGCATTTAGCTATACAGTTTATTCCGAAATGTGGATCACAATTTGTTAAATGAATATGGATACTTGTAATGCATGAAGAGTTAAATAGATGAATTATGCAACTGAAATGACATACATTTTGTTTGCTGTATACTGTAACACAGTCAGAACTTCGTTACAGAGCACTTCTAATCACATGAGCTGAACATTTACAAGTGTTGCTGGTAAGGCCTTAACCAACACACGGCTTGCAGTGAGTGACATTACAAGAACTAGCAGTGAGGCTGGATCACTATTATTTTTCAAGTTTGAATGACTACATCTGTTCTGTGCTACCTAGTACCCTCATACCCACATTTTTTTCCAGACCAAGAAATTCTGCTGTCCTCCCTTCCTTGCCCTTTCAGTAGAAAGATGGGATAGGACACTGGTCAGGCAGTGGCCAGCGCTGTCTGGATTTAACCCCCAGTTTTATCTCAGGCTTCTTGGACATCTGTTATACCCCTTAGTCCTTATTCCCACTTTCAAGTAAGGATAATAGCTCTCTTCTCACGGGAGGTGGTGAAGATTAGGAGCATACCATGAGTGGGGTATTATGAGGTTATGCTTGCTTGGACAATAGAGAGGAGTTTGTTTGTATCTCCCAGGAGGTGAAGCACAAGCTTTGGCTGTTACCACCGAGGTGCTGACATGCAGTAAAGCCATTGCCTTGCTTGTCTCTCAATAACTAGTACTTGTAGACATGCCCTGATACAGACAGATGAGTGGGTGTGCCTGATAGTGTCTAAGATGGTGATAAAGGCTTTCACAGCAGAGTAAAAGAGTTCATATTGATTGTAGACATTTTATACAAACCTATGGCATTAATCTTGAAGGGATATGTCCTGTCCAATGTATGCATGTAATTCTCATTAAGAGTAATAGCACTACATGTTCTCATCAAGAGCAGATTATATGCTTAAGTGTTTAAAACAAACAGCCTTTCTTGATGCAGCTGAGCAGTCTGAATACATCCATCAGCATTTAATTTAATACAGCATCAATAAGCCCTAGGAGGATGTTTACACTGCCCCAATCTTCTGTTTAATCCACACGTTCCAGGCACAGTAGCATTAGTCTTGTAAGGCTTTTGTGGAGAGCCCTATTTAATTGATGGACACTGAGCACTCAAAATGCTCCACTGAAAACAGATACCTCTAAGGAGCCAGCAGCTGCATCAGAACAGATACAGCAAAGCAGAAGGTTGCATCTATTATCCAGGTCACCAGTACACTAAATTGAACTGTTATTTATTTAGTACTTTTACAAAGCAGCCCAGCAAGCTTCCTTAAAGGGGCATTTCAGCTAGAGGTACTTCAAACTACAATATACTTCAAACATCCCTCTTACTTACATATTTGCTTACTGTAGGAAAAATGCATTAATTCCTCAGTCAGAGATTTTCCTCTTTGCTTCAGAGACAAACGTACAGCTACTGGAAATGCACTGAAGATTATTTTAAAGTGAGTGTAACAGTGCATCTGTTGAAATATTCCTACATGTTCCTGCAGTGGGTATGTAGGGGGAGGGGGATTTTTACTTTACTTTGGTAGATTTTGGATTTTCTTTTTTTTTTTTCCCTTTCAGTTTCAGCAATTGAAAGCTCTTGAAATTCATTGTCAGTAAAGTCATGACACATGTTTCACAGAGGGTCCTATGCAGTAAGATACTGTATGAACTACATCTATTTCATGTGGTACCTTCTGCATTACCACAGTCCTTTTTTTTTCACCGTGTAATACAGTAACTCTCCTCAGACTGTAATTTGTGTTTTCAGTATCATTGCAGTGACCGTATGTTTATACAATCTTTTCTAAAGTTTTGGATTTTTAGTTCATTTTCAGCTTTACAAATGTAATAGTACTCAAACCTTGTCATTTCTCTTTCTCTGTTACTCTGACTCTCAACATATTTTGTTGCATTATGTTGAAGTTTGAATAGCTCAAGACAAAGAAAGTCTTTATTCTGTTCCTTAAAGGTTTCAGCTGACTTTGGATGCCATAGAAATATGTCAATAGTTTTATTAGAGAACAAAACAGAGTAAGTAAGTGTTACATTCTTAAAGCCTCAGCTATGCCTTCTGAATACTGAATTACATTTCTATTTAAGTTCCTTTTTCCTTAATGCTTTGTTTTCATGGCACAGCCTTGACCGTGCTAACGTGCTTCTTCATGGGTTTTTTTTTCTTGTGTTTGATAGGTTTTCAGCTACACTGGCAAAAAAGCGACTATGAGTTAGGATGCCTCTAAGTACTCATGTAATATTTAACAGCATCATATTTTTAGCAAGTGTATTGTACCAGCCAGTCATACAAACAAGTGGGAGGCCAGAATGCATTGGTGACAATGGCAGCTCTGTGGATAAAGTGCACAATGAGGGTTTTCTGGATGCTACAACGCCACAGCTCAACAATGCTGACAGAGAGCAACTGTCGTTCTACAGCACCAACATTCACCAGATTAAATAAATCCACATTATTCCTCTCCTTCTCATTACAAAAATCACTAAAATGGAACATTGTCAGTGCCTCAGAGAGCCTAATGCTAATTTACAGTACGGGTATTTACACTGCTTAGGCTTTGGAAGGGAGTCTTAGTTTAAATCTCCCTGTTTTAAAACTATCACAGCTTCACTGGGCCCAAATAACGTTATGCGGGATGCCATTCTCTCCCTGCAATGTTAACTTTCGAAGCTGCCTTTGCTTTTTTGTTCTTGCTATAATTCTTTGGAAACAACAACTGAGTGTCCCTTTGGCAGAGCAGAATTAGTCAGAGGGAGGGCTGGTTTCTCTTCACTGCACCCCTTCAGCTGCACATGAAATCAGTAAGAGAGGTGGGTACCCTGTGGCCAAGTCAGCAGTGCATCATCCCTGTATCATACTGAAATCTGGCTCCTGTGGCTTGACAAAGAGCTTGGGAAACCAGAAGCTTGGTGGCATTATTTGAAGGATGCATCCTGCACATTAAAATGAGAGGACTCCTTGCTCATTTATTTTCAAACCCATTTATGAAAAGCTGTATTTGCAGAGATGCAAAAGCACACTGGCATTCTAGCCAGGTCCCTGTGGACTGACTCAGAAACAATGGGCCAGGAGGGACCTCTGTAATGGCACAGTACTCTGCTGCTGCAGGGCACTATGCCATATAACCCTTCTCATAAACCCTTCAACTTCCATTTTAAAACTAGTTAAGGTTTTTATTCCTACTCTTATTACAAGGTTGTTTCAGAGCCTTGCTTTCAGGTGGTTAAAAGTGGTCTTTAAATTGTCAAACTGAATTCCTGGCCAGCGTATATCCTCTATTATTGTGCCAAGACTATCCATGAGATTAAAAGAGTTCTTTTCTCTGGTTCATACCCCTGCTCTCAGCTTCTCCTCTGACAGCTAACTATCCAAGCTCTTTTAAAACATATTTACCTTCTGCTATGCAGCATGCTCCAGAGATGTCTGAGATAGTGACGTGGCCATAGATATGGCTATTTCTGCTGCAACGCTTGTCTATTAACCAGAACCAATCAGGAATTTTCCACTTGATATTTCAGAGACAACTTTTCCTTTAATTTTTTTTTTTTTTTTACTTTTGCAAACAATATGTTAATTTCCTGTAGTGAATGTGGAAACAACAGTTCTGAAACTCCCAGAAACTTCACCTTCTGGGCAGAAAGTGAAATTTGAGCAAAAGCCTTCCAGGCATTGCTGGAGGTGAGACCTGCCACTTGGCTCTCAGCTCCCTTCTCTCCCAGGCCTGTCATCTGGGATATTCCATATCCTTGGGACAGTCCAATCCCTGCTGCTCTGGCTTCTAGAGCTAAGCAGGGGTAATTAGGCAGCAGAAAAGTGATGCTCCTACCCATGGGGCTGGGATGCATAGGAGGGGGTGGGGTCCCTGTCTCTGCAACTTGGATCTGACAGAGAAGCAAGCCCTGAGCTGTCAGGGTGGAAGCATCTTGCCAATTCAACCTTCTGCCAGCTGACATCCACCTTGTAGCTGCACAGCCCACAAGCCAGAACAAAAAGTCAAGTTTCTTTAATCCCTTCCTGCAAAATTAAAAAAAAAAACAACCCAAACCCTCCAACTCCTTCTGCTTTTCCATCTCTGTTCACGGGAAAAAAACCATTTCAGAAGTGCAAAGTTTTGGAAGTTCTGAGCTTTTGGTCTCTAGTCATGCAATTCTCATAACAAGGTTTTGCTCACTGTTCCGCTGCTTTTAGCACTGTTCATGGCAACACTCTCTCTTTCCTTTCTTAGCCCTTTTCCCTCATGAGATTGGTTAAAAAAAATTAAGACACAGCATTTTATCAACTTATGCCCAGTGGTTTTCCCCACAGCCTTTGTATGCAACTCAGTTCTTGCTTTCTCTGCTTCCACATTTATCCATTCTCTTTTTCCTTTGGAAATCTGATACTGCTGCTGACTTTACTCTTCCTGTTTCTAGGTGCTGCCTTCTTTGCCAGTAAATCACACTTTCTTCCTTGCTGTGGGTCTAATTCAAGTATATATTGCCATCAGATTGTGCCATGAGTAGAGGCAATAATGAAAGATACGCTGTCCGTAAAACTGAACTGACTCCAATGGTTCAAAGCATTTGCAAAGGAACTACAGCTGCAGCAGTATTAAAGTCATGCTCAGACATAAATCTCTGTTTGCTTTCTTCAAACTCTTCCCTCTTCAACCTGTGCTTCTCCTGCTGGGTTTCATTCAGGTTAGATGCTTAGAGGAGAATTAACACCCAGAATGAAAGGGTTTCCAGGCCAGATCTGCCTGCAGAGGAACAGAGTGGGACCTATGGGGACTGTGACCCTCCCAGTAGCACTGCTTCATGTGGCACATGTGCAAAATGTGCATCTTTTTTGCCCAAATCATGGCTGACCTATGTGTGTATACGCACGCGTTCACAATGGCATCATCCAATACATTTTAAAATACGCATTATTTTTTAAAGGATATTTTGATGCAGCATGAAAACAGTCACTTTGGAAAATGCTAGTTGGACTTCTAGTGATGTTTGCATGACAAACAGTCTTCAAAGAAGTATTCAGGCACAATTAAGTGTAAGACCTGCCATTCACAGACCTTGCTGGACCTGCCCAGTCTCCCCTGGAGCCACCACACCTCCTGCCCGTGGGCCCCCGTCCCTGCCTGAGTGACATGTAGCTGTTGTCAGCTGTGTCATGGCCATGCCTGTGCCTGGCCATGCACCCTTCTGGTCAGTCCCCTGACCCGCAGGCTGACTTTCTGGCTTGACCTGAACCTGCCTCGTCCCCATGGGCTTACAGTCATTGGACTGTGTCTGCCTCCCTAAACATATTAGAGGTAGGAACTGAAAAAAATTAAGTAGGAAGGAAAACACTATTTATAGGGAAGGAGAAGAGTATTTATGTAACTTCTTAAATGTACTTGAAAATGTACTTCTGTGATGATCCATACTCTGCACGCACTTACATGTATACTTAAAATCAGTCCTGCATGCAGAGATTGTGTGCACAACCAGACCCAATGTAAGAAGCTAAATCATTTCAGATGGGCTACTTGGATGGCAATCGGGCAGTGTTTTAATTATTAGATTTTCAACATGGTGTACAACTAATCTCCTTAATATTCCTCTTATTTGTTGTGCAGATGCAATCACATGCACAGTGGTGAGGTGCTTTCTACAAGGCTGCATGCAGAATGATTTTCCAGTTGAAGTTCCTGGTTCTCATAACTAGATTATTGTATTGTAATGCTCTACTAGATCTACTAAAGATAGGACTAAGAACTTTTCCCCTGGTACTATCTAGGCTCGTACTTGAACTAGGAGCCCAGGTTGTGCTGCTAAACTGAGCAATCATCTGGTGCCCTGAGCACTTAGCCTTCTGCCTACCATTACTTACTGTGTAATTATTCCTTCCAACTATGAAATATTATTTCTTCTTATAAAAAGGGCTACAGTTGAATTTAAGAACTCAGAAAAGAAAGGATGCTTTCTGTACTAATGCTTATATACGTGTTTTGTTGCAATGGTACCTATATAAACCTCAGAAGAACTAAAAAGTCCTAAGATTGAAAGCTTAGATTAAAATTGTGCAAGATTAAAAAATGATATACCTCGATCAAACGCCATTTTCACATCTTCAATGTGCTCAGTGAAGCCTGAGACTCTATAGAGGCCCTCGGACTTTAAACCTGAAACAAAAAGCTCTTTGTTAACTTCGTTTCTGTAACCAACATATATTTAGGGTTAAAAACAATAAAGCAAGAACAAGAGATCTAGTAAGTAAGTGCAGCAAAATATTAATTATAACGTCAAACTCTGGGCCATTTAAGGAATCATCAAGGTAATTTAAAGTAATTTTTTAAAGGATTAAAGAATTTTAGAATTCATATTTTCTGATTTTGTTATGTACATGGTTGATTATGTTAGAGGAAAATACTGTGATTTGCTAGTGGTGGGGCATATGATATTATCATGATTTATTCATTTTATGTGGGATATTTTCCTGGATTTGGCTACAATTAACAAAGCTTTAGAGGTCTTGTTTCCTTTTACCAGTTGCCGAATGATAAATACCAACACAAGTAAGAGTGCATTTCCCTATGAGCACATTTGTTCCCAGTTTAGCTGTCAGCTTTTACTTATACACAGTTGGTAGATATGATGGATATTGTTCTTCTTCACATCAGTATGTCCCTTCTACTTGCACAACTCTCCCCCCATTTGCTTAAGACCAACATGAAATGCAAGGCAGCCCAGCACAGCGGGCAGAGCTAGCCAAGCAGTTACACACACGTTATTTATTTTAATGCCAGAACTCTTAATTGTGACTATGCATAGTGATAACCTACTTATAAGATCCAATACACTTTGTTTTCTTAAGAACAAAATCCATATCTTATATAGTTCTATAGCAATTAAGGAAAGAAATTAAAAGATGTTGAAAAGATGAAGCTACCACAGATGTTATCCTAATTGGTAAATGTACAAGTGAATAGATCTCAAATACAACATAGCTTCCTGTTATATCATCGGAGTGAAGCTTTTCTGTTTTAGTCAAAACTATTCTATTTGTCCCTGCAATGATGATATAATCCTGGTAGAGCTTTACAGAGCAGTGCAGGGGATTTACTTGTAAATCTTTGATTCATTTTAGTAGATGGTGCGTGGCTTTGAAATCCCTGTGGCTAGTATGAGTGTGTTGCCATGCAGATTACTGGGATGCCATGAATTCAACGTTATGGGAGTCCTGTGCTGAAGCTATGACTAGCAGGGAAATTTGGCTTATTGGGCAGCATAACATACACATTTGCTTTCCAAAGCAAAAATACGTGATCATTACTGTGTTGTGTTGGAAGGGACATGGTATTTCTTCAATCTGGCACATGACTGTGTACCAAAAACCTGTCACAAGCTGGAGTCTTGGCTGTGACATGCTGCCTGATCCATGGTATCCATCAGCCAGCAGCTGAGCATCATGTGAAACCCTGCACAGTTTGTGACATACCACAGAACGCCACTGCCTGTGACCTCACTTGTCTGATCACTTCTGTTTTCTTGCCCATAATGTCTGGAAAGGTTATTAATCAGGATTTGATATAAACTGATTACTCTGAAATTGGAAGTGTCCCTAGGTATGTTAAAAGAAAATAATGAAAAAAGACACATAGACATGAAACTAAAGTTCACTTCGAAGTTCACCCCTTTCAGAAATGGAACATAACACATGTTTTGACATGTTTCAGAAAACATTTCAGGAAATTGCATTATGAAATGCCATGATTTAATTTTAACAGCTAATGCAAAACAATGTATCACCTATGTTAAAAAAACCCCTCCTTTCATCCTTTCTTCAGTGGGCATGAGCATACTACCCCATCCTTAGCTGAGGACTTAATTCAAGTCATCTTCATTTGATCATTCATTTGACCTAAGCACACAAACCTCTTGCTTCGATCTCTCGAATGCATGAATCCACAACCATCGGCCTCTGGGTATTGTGGGCTTTCACTAGTGTGGTGAGATCACAGCAGTAGACTCGCTTTATCCTCTTGAGGTCTGGTTGGCAGTCGTTGGGCACATATTTGGAGCACTGCTTATGTACGTTCAACCCACAGTCTGTAAACAAAATCAGCAAGGTTAATTAATACTAACACCAATAGGTCTTGTTTAACAATTTATTTTCTTGGGCTACATCAGGCAAGGGGCATAACTTCCCCATCAGTCAGAAAAACCAGAATAAATAAAATGGAGATGAGAAAGATGAGCATGGAAATCTGTAAAAAACCTATGGTGGGCAAAGTGAGCTCCAGCAGAGCTGTTACAAAGCTGTAAAAGCCTTGGATATCCCTCAGACCCCTCTGTGCTGTCTGGGTCAGTTCACTGCCAGACACGTAGCTCTAGGTGTTGCATTTGGACCCATGGGACTTAACTACTGGGTATTAAAGTTTAGCCTTTATAAGATTAGCACAGTAATGACTGTCTTCTGCTGGCCAGCTTGTGGCTTAGTGCTGCTAATGGATGAAGGACCAAAAATTCACCTGAGCACTCAAACTGGGACAGTGCTTTGAGCTAGAGTGCCTCCCTTCCCCATTCCTGCAGTGTTGCAGTTTGGCTCCCTTTGCCACATCAGCAGCCTTCCCACCCCTGTCTCATCACTTTACTGGTGACTAAAGTGTCCACTGTGTTTAGTCTGTAGGTCAGTTAAGGAATATAAAATGCTGTGAAAGGCATGATGTAAAATAGTTAATCACTTTACAAATGGTTCTTGGTGTCTTACTACTGCGTCAAATCCTAATCTTGGTTGCACTAGTGGGTTTCTATTAACTTAAAGATCACTGCTTCACCTCCACAAATTGAATTTTTCTAATAGATTCAAATATTCAGCCAAATGGATTTATAAGCCTCAGTGAAGCAAACGCCACCACTGTGAGTTACATTATCTCACATAACTCTGATTCCTAATTTAATGCCTTCCCAGTCATGCCCATCATTGACAGTACCCTTTGGGATAACTTCACACAACTAATATCATCACTAGCAAGTTACTTACTGCTTTTTCATGTAGATTTACCACCTGAGATATTAAAAATGTAAACATAATACTATTCCTTGCAGCACATTTCAGTATTATTCCCTATAAAATATTAATCAAGAAAAAAAATATAATCACTACAAACACACCTACACATTTAATGGAATTGCATTGGTGTTTGTGTGTTTTTCTATACAGTTATTACTGCATAATACATTATTGTTCTGTGAAATCTAAACAAATGTGAGCAGCTGCAGTCAGGATCCTCCCTGTATTGTTTTCAGTGCTGTTCTCCAAGCATGTAAAGTTAAATCCAAATGCATCTGTCTGCTTAGAGTTAAATGGTTGTAATTTAATGAGGGAAAGTGTTATGTTTCATACTAAATAAATAAGCCTTTTCATAAGTTTAATATTTTATGTGTGTGAACAAAAACAGTGCTATGCATTAGTCAGGTCAGTTTTTGCGCATGTATTTAAGATCAAATAGCTTGAAAAGCAAACTACTATTAATTTTCCTCTCTTTTAATGTCCTCATATTCTTTGTGTTGCCATTATTCATCTACAGGCAGACAAGATGTAGCCGTAGCTCAGACTGCACTTATTAAAACTGTGCATTTGTGAAAGGTATTTTGATCCTTCAAACTGTGGTCTAAATTTTAGGTAACAACCATCTCCTCTGTCCATGAAAGGCAGATGTCAGGGTTGGATGTGCTCAGTGCCAATCTGAGATAAGAAGGTCAGGGCAGGGAGAGGTAAGACAGAAGCATATTCAGGTGACACATGGAAGGGATTGAAGGTCTGTAGAAGGAACGAAACTCCATTTGCAGGGCATTGAATATTTTCCCTTGCTGAATCCAAAAGCTCGTGATGTGATGATTATTGCATTTTATCAAGATGATTATTTTCCACAAAAGAACAAACAGATTTTAAATAATTAAAGCACTATTAAAATGCTAATACAGTTATAGTGGCACCAGAAAACTAATCCTTCTATGAAAATGAAGGTCATGTTTTGTGTTTTCCCTTAAGGTGGGATTCTTCAGGCTTGCAGCAATGCATGGTATTTTTATAGGAAACAGGTGACAGTCTTTTTGCAGACGATGGCGCTTCTCAGCAATTGGTGGCAAAATGATGAGTTACAAAGCCTAGTTGCTGGCTGGGTCTGCCCATTTCCAGGGCTTGTTTCTTAAGACATTCAGGGATAACTTAACCATAAAGGTGATTCTTTATGGTTAAGTTATCAATAAAGATCAATACACCACGGTACATGCATGACCAATGTAATGTACTACTGAAAGGATGTCATCCTCAGTGACCAGCGGCTGGTGGCTTCATTTCTAAACCAGCTAATGGGGAAAATGACAATAGTCTAAGTTGCACTGGGAGGATTTCTTGCCTTATTCTGTAAAGTAATCCCTACCCCCGTCCTACAGCGAGTGCAGGCTGGGGGTGGGAGAGATGTCTGAGCATACCAAGAGAATGACAGAAAATGTTGCAGGGCTACCTGAACACCTCACTCCCTGAGCGATGAGACCCCACATGAAGTTGGCGCAGTATTCACACCAGTGTGGACCTCGAAATGTATGGACCTGTAATACAAACAGGGAGGGAAAAAAAGAAGAAATGGGGTCACTGGGAGGCAGATGGTCTGACAGATGGAACAGCTGAAACAGATAAACAACAGAAGATTCAGGAGGAGTAAATCTTCAGCACGCAGTGCCCGCATCTTTCAAAAGTCTAGATGAAATAAACCACGGGAACAGAAATTTGCTTTGATCTTTAAGTTTATCTTTCAATAGGCTTAACATAACAGAGAACTGGGCTGTGTACAACACTGAAAACAAATCATTTTTGCTAGCTGACATTTTAGCTATAGCAGAGGGCAGGAAACCAGGTTTACTAGTCAAAGGAGAAAAAAGTAAAACTAATAATCCAAGGAACTGTAGTCAGTGCTTTTATTTGAGTAGCTCAAACAAAACAGAAATGTTTCTGAGATTCAAATACTCTTCAGCTGATCATTTGAAACTAGGGGAAATGCAGTGACAGAAAGTCCCTTCGAACGCACCATGTTTTGGTTCCCCAGAACCATGTGTGACCACAGATCTCGTGTGTGAGACCCATCTTCTAAGAGCACTGCTCAGGTTTGAACACACTACGACTATGGTGTTACGCATTTCTATGCAAAAACACTGAAAAAACTTGAGGTGATTGCTGTAAATATGTATCAGGGATGAATGATTTGTGCAGCCACTCCAGGCAGCAGTTGGGTAATGATCTTTGCACACTGGAATCCATCAGTGGTAAAAGCAAACGACACCCTTCTCCACTCTAGTGAGTAAACTGAACTCACAGAGGAAAAAGATGTCAGTAGGCTCTTTTTCAATAGACCAAACTTCATTTTGCTACAGTCCACACGTAAGTAAATACGGAGGAATAAAATGACCTGCCTGCTGACAGAGCCCACAGCTTCCTGGCCAGGCTTTGCATACCACCACTGCTTACTCCACTGCTTTTCCAAGGCTACAGTGGAAGACTTTTTTATTTAAGATACATGTTCTGGTAAAGTAAGCATTTCATTTTCATTGAAACCAAGAGTAAATAGTGAGGTCTACACCCGTGTGAACAGACATGGTATGAGCTAGTTCAGGCCAGAGACTTAACTGAGCTTAACAAAACATAAATCATGTACACTCTGGCTGCTAAATGCTTTCTTTTGCTTCTCTCTGCTCTTGTTTACCCGTTGGGTGGATGGCTGAAAGGCCATTTCCACCTCCTGGGCTGGGGAAAGCTGCTCTTTTCATAGAGTGAAAAAAATGGTCATTGCCCTTTTCAGATAAACTTTGTGAAGTTTTAAGCCAAGCATTTGGCTTGCTAATGTTTTGGCCCCATTTGTCTGCAGGATCACACCTACACAAGCCTGTACTCTTGAGTCCATTCCTCAGGAATGATTTTAATACAGACCTCTCTTTCTGATTATGGATAAAAGTGGGACCCTGACCACAAATGACTCCTTACCAACTACTCACAGTCAATAACTGAATTGCATGAATAAGCTTAGAGCAATAGTAATTCTTCCTCCCTTGTGATAGTAAAAGGTCAAACCTGGAATGTCTGACTGGTCATATTTATTTTTTGAAATGGTATTTTACCCCTCAGGAAAATGTGTAGCCCTGGGAAACAACACTTTGCAATAAAGTTTGAGGTAGATTGACAGATACAGGCACATACTTCTTTTGCATTTTATCTTATTTTTCAGGGTTGGTAGCATGAATTTTCAGACATGGCTTTTAGTGGGGGTAAACGTCCATACCTAACATCAGCTGATGACCTGAGTTTCAGGCATATGCTTTATGTGAACTTCAGCAGATATGAAGCTACAGATACAAATAATTATGCCTGCATCTTTACCATTTTTGGACTCATAACCACATAATTAGTAAGTCTGCACCTGCATTTAATTGTGGGTGAAAATCACCTGCTATGGGAAGATCGCTGTCTTCTGCTTTGCAGCGGTTCACAAAAGCTAACCTTGTGAGAGGAGGCTGTAAAAGCTCATTCAGGATTTTAAAAACCACTGCATTTCACATTTAATGTCCATCACAGTTGCTAGGATATTTGGGGCCTACTTGCTCACTTTACATAAAGCTTATGCCAGCTGATCTCGCTGCGGCATATTTAGAAAATGCTAGCTGATTATTCCTTGATCTCTCCTGTCATTAACGTGAAAGCCATCAATGCTGGCTGAGGGCTCCACCTGAGAAGTGCTGACTGCATATCCTTCCCCTGTTCCCTTCTGCTTGGTGGCCCTCAAAGGTTTAGTTCTCTTTATTCATACACTTCAGTTTTTCACTGTTCTGCCTTTTAGCTCAAATGGCCAGTTCCCAGCTGAGATGTCCTGTGAAAAGCTAGTTGTGGTGGCTTCTGGTCAAGTTGAACCAGGCAAACATTTGCTATGTCTATCTGGAAAAGGAAGATCTTCAGAAGTTTTTAATGAAGGTGCAAAAAATCTCTTAAGGTGCAGTTTTTAACCAAGTCTCTTATGGCGTGCCATTAATTTTAAAGAAATAATGAGGAAGTCTGTTCTTAGGAACACAACACTCTTGAACGGTAAATGGGAAATTTCCCTGCATGATTTGTCTTGTTTCTATTTTAAACAAGGAGAGGAAGCACCTGGTCTTAGGTTTTTGGGATGGGCTTTTAAATTTTGCCCCATCCTTTTTAACCACAACATAACAAATGGGCTAGGCTGAGGTCTTCTGGAAACGTGTTCAGCCTGGAAAAGAGAAGGCTGCGTGGAGACCTTATAGCAGCCTTCCAGTATCTGAAGGGGGCCTGCAAGGATGCTGGGGAGGGACTCTTCATTAGGGACTGTAGTGGTAGGACAAGGGGGAATGGGTTTAAACTTAAACAGGGGAAGTTTAGGTTAGATCTAAGGAAGAAGTTCTTCACAGTGAGGGTGGTGAGGCACTGGAATAGGTTGCCCAAGGAAGTTGTGAATGCTCCAACCCTGGAGGAGTTTAAGGCCAGGCTGGACAGAGCCTTGGGCAACATAGTTTAGTGTGTGGTGTCCCTGCTCATGGCAGGGGGGTTGGAACCAGATGATCTTAAGGTCCTTTCCAACCCTAACTATTCTATGATTCTATGATTACTGGTTCTTACCTCATCCTGCAGTCTCGGAAGACCTCTCTGTGTACACTGAGCATGGGCTTGGGCTGCTTGGGCTACACTTGATACATAATTCTGACTTTTAAAAAGAATTTACAGGGAAGTATTTCTTCATGTAAGCCAAAACATGATGTTTCAGACTACACACTGTACTTCTTTTGTTCAGTCTTTCATCTTCTTTCCACAATGCTTAACTCCTTCACTCTGTTTCCTTTCCAGCTCTTTCAATGAAAAGTTGTTGCTTACATTCATCCTCTCTTCTCTGTGGGACAATCTCACCCAATACTACACTGTCTTAACTCTTCTTATTGCCTTTCTGTGCTCTCACCTTTGCCCTTTGGCTCTCTGGTGCCTTTGCTTCCAAATAGTGGAATTCCTCCCATGCTGCTGGTGTTATCTTGTTCATTTTTAGTGTTTGAGTGTTCCCATTTTCACAGAGGGAGAAACTGAGACCAAAGTTAAGGAATGCCAATATAGTGGCAAAAAAACTAATACTCCCTTAAAGCAATATTGCAGAAACAAACTAAAACACTGCCTTCAATTGAAATGTATGGGTTTTACAGGCATTATATAGTGCTGGTTCTGAGACAAGTTTGCTGTTTATGTGACTGAATTTAAAGACTTTTCTGTTTGCCTCCAAAGAAAACAAGTTTTTTTTATATACTTTCACCTGAATATATGCACATTTATACTCTCCCATGGACTCCTGCTGACACTGAGCTGTTTGCAAGGAAAAGCTGACTCTGCTGCTATTTTTGATTAAATGCATACACATAATCTTCATGATGCCTGTAAAAATGCCTCACCCAAACCCTTTGTTTCCCAGAAGCAGTGTTGATCTGCAGTGATTAACACAAGGGGAATTTCATCTCAAAGTGTCCTTCCTCCCAGCAGATCTTCTGACTTGCCTGTAGTCAGCTGCCTTTACTCTGCTAGCCCGCCTGCAAACGGGATTTGCTCAGGCTCTAGTGGCAAACAGGCACAATACTGTGCTAAATGTACATTATTCAGCTCTATTTGCTCACTTGAAGTGGTACAGAGGCCCTCTCATGAATTCCCAGCCTAGAACAAAATGCATGGAGCACCCCCAAACCCCATACTGCTGTCTGCAGGCATGAGGTTGACCTCACCACCAGCAGGGACCCCACTGAAGCCGGCAGGTAGAGTACAACCCAGCGAGCCTGCTGGATCCTAACTGTAATGAGATGCTGGAGGACTTTGTGATCCAGTTAGGGTGACGCCCACATAGTTACAGAAATACCTCTGTGTTTTTTCTAAACACGGCTTCAGAGATTTATTCTCTTTCCTGAATTATGGTATGTCTACCCTGGCTTACGCAAAGTTGTCCCGCCAGAAAGACGCCAGCTCCAAACCTAACTCTATGTGACTGTGTTGTGTGCTCAGGATGAACCCAGCTTAACAAATCAGTCTGGATACTAACCTTTCTTTTGTTCATTTGCCATGAGTACCTTGAAATTTGAAAGAGGCTGAATGAGAAAGTGGATGCTCAGAAGGGCATAACATGATACCCTCATGCTTCAAACTCCATCGCTCCTTTTTATTTTGTATTAGCTTGGAAAGGGTAGAAGGAGAACTGTCCTTGCTCTGAATTTTTGCCTTGAGTTCTTCTTTCTATTGTTCCTTCTCTTTTCCAGTAGGTAAGATCTTCAGTGTATGATCTACAAAAATCTTGTCTGCTTCACTAAAAATGTGCCCTTCGTTTTTAAGATTCTTCATGGCTAAAGGACAAGAGCTAAAAAGTGCCTGTTTGTTCATGAAGAGCTGCCTATGACAAGATTATGAGGAACGCTGACATATAACCTTTGTTCCCATGAAGTAAAATGAATGATACAATACACGTCAGTATTCATCTAAAAATGGGGAAGACAACTCACTGAATGTCTGCAAAATAGCTTTCTCCTTCAGATAAATCCCATATCATCATGGCCTGAGTGCTGTCAAAAGCCATTAAGAATTTTGCCCCAGGACCCATAAAGCCTTTCCGTATGATTTCTTAACCCTTTAATGTAATGAATTTGGAATATATTAAAGATATTAGACTTGAATTTATCTGTATTCTAAATAATTCTACTCTAAGCTTCTATCCACATTTTTTGTTCTACAGCTATCCATGTTCTAATATATTCCTTTGGAAAACTAACTGTATTTGCACAGTGAACGTATCTGTTCATTAAGTAAATGTAACACTTTTGACTTGCCTTTCTGGACAATGTTTCTTCCCTAAGTTTTTTATTGCTTTTACTGGGATGAAAAAATAATTTTCTCCTGTCAAGCTTTTGAATACATATATACATGAATCATGTGATTTTCCAGTTGAACTATGACTCTTTTGAAATAGAAAGGAACAGAGACTGTACAACAGCTAGATTGTGCAAACTCCAAGTTAACTGGGCACATGTCCAATTATAAATCAAAGCCAAAACAGGGGAATTTTGAAGAGGAAAGAATGCATGGGTCAAAGTAGAAAAAAGTCTCAGTCATGAGAAAATATTTTCTAGTTAAACTAAAATAGTTTTGATATTAAATGATAATGAGGGCAAAACCCAGAAAGAATGAAAGCTGGTTTAATCAAGCAAGAAAACTCAGAGTATTTCCCCTATTTCCTTCAGTGCTGATCAGTGAGATAAATATTGACTTTTCCGTAGACTGGGTCAAGGAGGGGGAATGAGAAGGATGCTGCTATTATTTGCTTTGCTCACTAATATTAAATTATTGATTTACCAACTACAGCAGAAGCACTGCAGAGGAGAGCAATGCCTGCACAGTGCAATATGTAGAAAAATAAGAAGTGAAGCTCTTTTGCTAAACCAGGAAATCAGTGAAATCATTTTAATCAGTGCTTCTCCTTTTTTTTGACAGGCGATGATAAATACCAGTAAATTCTCTTTCTGCTAATGAGTTGAATTATTCTGACAGAGGTCCAGATCAGCATCCTCAAGGAGCATTAAGTAAACTGAGGTTTCAAAGCTGAGACACATTCCTTTCTTGTCTTGTTACAGCCTCTGATTCTCTCTGTACCCATCCCGATAAGCATCAAACCACAATTTGACAGCATTAGATACGGTAACTGGCTGGCATACTCTGAAACCAGCACAGTCCTTTTGGCAAAACATTTTAGTACAAGCTGCCTGGAAGGTCTGTTTCCAAAGCTGAGTCACTTCCCTGCTGCAGCATGCCAGACACAGCACTTGGGGCAAAAAGCCCGAGAATATGATTCTGTATGTATAAGACAGTCAAAAGATGATCCATTTAAACATCCCTGTGTTTGTCCAGCTATTTGGTTTAGTTTGACAAGCAAACACAAGCTCAGATCTTACAGCTCAGTGGGACTCTGAGAGCATTTCCCTAGCATATGGTGGTGGAACAAAAGCTAGGAGACAATACCACCGCCGTGTTCTGCTTTATTGTTGGGGAGCACTCCAACTCCCTCAACTTCTGAAAACAGAAATGATTAAAATGTTTGCTAGTAAAATGCTACTGGCTTCTGACAATAGCTATGTTTTGAAAAGGGGCCTTTTCCTTGTTTAAAAGTAGATACACTTTAAAATAAAAACTATCAATATGAAGTACCTTGTTTCTGAACAAAAAAGAAAACTGAATCTGAGCAAAAAGAGCTAAAATGCCAGTCAAGTAGTGAAATGAGTAGAAAACCTGTTAGTTGGATTAAGTGCCTATGTAAAAGCATATTAAGAATGCAGTCAAGGGGACTTAAAGTAGAAAGAAAAATAATTTTTTTCAACACTTTTCTCAGAGCTAGTAGAGATGGGTGCATGAAAACCCCATCACAGTAAAAAATCAAATGTGAGGCATCTAACCAGAACTTTTTAGCTGAAAATAGGAAGTTGTGCTTACCTTAAAATTGTGTGCTTTTTCATAGTTGAAGTGGTTGTCGTTTTGAGTTAAGGCTGCTCTTCTGACCAAGGAGGTGATCTGTGAATAGGCAAAGAGTTTCAGAGGTTGCCACAAAAGTGCCCCCTTGACTCCCACCTTCACCCCCAGGGCCACGGCCAGGAGCTCTTGGCGCTTCCTTGCTCGCTTCGACTTGTGAACAACGGCACAGCTTTTCTCATTTTCCAGCCACAGATCCTCTGAGAACATAGTGCTGGGATCCCAGATCTTTTCCCTGTCTTCCTCGGCGCCGGGGAGCGTGACTGTAGTCAGTACGGCACAGTTTGTCCAACTGCTTCTGATGTTAGACAGCAGATTTGAAGCAGCTGCAGCCCATTCTGCCGAGACCTCTGGCATGTGACTTGAATGGGCTGTCTTGTGGGACGGAAGGAGCTTCTGCATCTGAATAAGTAACGGCCTGTGCCGTGCGATTTCTTAAGGCAGATGTGTGCCTTGAACAATAGCCCAAATTCATACACTAAGCAACCTTCCCCTCCACCTCCCCTCCCTGAGCGGTGGTCTCCAGCTAGGTGCTGCCAAAATACAGGCTGGGGGGGGGATGACAGTGCTACAGCTTCACACCCAAAGGCATTTCCAGGGACAGATCACTTCAACTCTGCAGTGTGCTAAAAATGAAAAGACAAATAAAAAGCCCCAGGAAAGCCCACAGAAATGAATCCAATGCTGCATCCAATTACACTCAGACTTATCAGCCAGCAGCAGTCTGCATGCCAGCAGAGTAAGCCCTTAAAACCATGATGATTGCTTAATCTTACAGGGCTAAGATATTTTTTTTTCCTTTTCTTTTCATATCCTGTACAAGGGGAAAAATCCAGCAGCACTCCAAGCATTAATAACACTTTTATGCCATGTTTTAAACTACAGCATTTTCTCAGGGTGCACTTGGCAGCAAGGAGCTAGCTTGCTGTCAGGGAAAGTTGAAAGCCCAGCTGGGACAATGCAGGCTAGGAAGTCCCTGAGCCCTGTGCAGCACCCAAGTGAAGGCAGCAGGGGAGCTTCACATGGATGGAGGAAGCCCATATGCACAGCCCTGTTTGCAGAACAGGGTTTGCAAGATAGCAAGAACAGTTGTCCTTTGCTCTGGTTATGTGTTCTATAGATCTGGGGGGAGGGAGGGGAGAAACTGATTTCTAGCTAAAGCCCAGGGACAGAAGGGACCCTGACCAGTATGCGCTACAGCTTTTAGTGTTACTTTGGGCACCTGATTCAGTTCTTCATGGGCAGGTAGTTCCCTGTCCCAGAACACAGAAGATGTGCGAGACTGAGCATCCCCTTGGGAATGCTTCCCAATGCTTCCCAATTCGTGCCTTCCAATGCACCCTTTAAGTGCCCCCTCCCTGCCAGCTTCCCTTCAGCTCCCCTCTCCTGCTCCCTTAATGAATACGTCCATTCTCCACCCATAAGAGGAGGACAGGGGTTACCTCCTAAGCAGAGCACTGTGAGATTTAACCTCTAACATATGTCTAATGCTCAAGATGCTGCAACAGAACAAAGTAGGGGGTTACCAGCGCTTCTGGGAAAACTATGTCTTTGAACTAGAGACACTAAAGACTACATCAGCCCTTTAGAGTCTGCCCCACTTCAACTTACTCAGAAAATATGTGAAATTAAAGTATTTAATTCAGTTATGTTAACTGGTGGAGTTGAATTTGACTATTTTTTTCAGTCTGCTTTTACCTCAGACTGAAAAGTCAGAAGATTCACCTAATTCACTTACTAAAACCTCCACCATATAGACTGCCTGCTCTTAGTAAAAGCAATGCTTTCCTGTTTTGAAAGCCCGTGGGGACAGATGGTCGGCTGTCAGTAACATCAGGCCATGCAATTTCAGATAGTGCCCTACTTAGGGTTTTCAAGAAGTTGTGCAACCTGAAAAATCAGCTTCTCAGCTATAAAATGATGCACTTACTTCTATGTATAGTACACTTCTTTTCCGGGTATGTATAGTATCCTTTCTTTTCCGGATAACTCACAGCAGCTCTTTTTATGTGCTCCCACCTCCAAAGCTTTTGCTCCCCAGCATGGAGGACTTCTACACAACATCATTGCTCTCCAAGCATTTGCTGCCTGGCCTTTCCCCAGGGCTTGGAACTGTTATTTGACCACTGTGACAACTGCCTGTGATGTTATGTATGAACATTGCTCTGCCTGGAGGAAACCCCTGCTGCTCTTCCCATATGTCCTCCTGCTAGTGAGTCCTGATTTCCGCTAGCTCAGGAGCTTTACCTGCTTTCCAGCAGAAAAAAGCAGACTATAGCTCTCCAGCTCTCTCTCAATGTACATCAAGAGATGAGGAGCACTGGCTTTAGGGATATCTCTGACCCCAAAGGCTTCAATTTGGTCCATCACAAAGGAGACTTCGGAGCAGTTTGAAGTTTTTACCACATTCCAGTTTCTTTCCCCAGTTACATTTTAAATGTATTTACATTTGTCAGGAAAAAAAACTCCAAACAAGCTCTGAGTTTTAGGCATCTCTGAAGCTGTATCATCTAAATCCCTGTATATACATAAGGTACATTCTCTCTGACTTCCAGCGTAACAGATGCAAAGTCAGAGAGAGGTTTCCTAATAATGCTCTAATATTTGCATTTATACTGCTAGACTGATTAAAATCCCATTATATAACCAATATATTTTACGTAACATGGCAGATTTGATACTCGAACTACAGGCTTATTATGATGTATTTTGGAATTTCTATTTATTAAATTATTTTTGAAATATCAGAGCATCATCCTGGGATCAGAGGTACAGTACTATACTTAATGGAAACTCAGAGTGTTCACACAGAAGCATTAAACTTAATAGACTTGGAGGAGGACAAGTCAGTAACCAATTCATATGACTAAGGCAGATCAGTATTTACTGTTTATTACGTATGAAAATTTATTTATCCCCCTGACTGCTTTTTCTACTTTGCTTGAGCCCAATTTAGATAGTTGTTTAATGGGATTCCTTGCAAACACAGGATGTGTACAGAAAGCCACAGTGAGTGCTTCCTCTTAAGAAGCTTAATCATATAACTGGAAAGAGGGTAGATTGAGATTAGATATTAGGAAAAATTTCTTCCCTGTGAGGGTGGTGAGACACTGGCACAGGTTGGCCCATGATTGCTTGCCTCCAACCTTTCCACCATCATGTGTGAGCATTTATAATTTTATCTAGTGGAAGGTGTCCCTGCCTCTGGCAGGGGGTTGGAACTGGATGACCCAACACAAACCGTTCTATGATTCTATACAAACCCCTACCAGGTTTGGTATCTAAAATGGTGCTGTAAAACTGAGATGAGCTGGACCACGTATATAACCCCTTCCCTCACTAAATATAATGCAAACAGCAGCAATGGCAAATTCTCAGCAGCAACTGGCTCCAATGTACTGATGCCATAGGCCAACCCCAGCGCTCTTCTTCATCCATTTTCTTTTTCCGAATACAAAATTTACTGCACATGGTGTCAACTCACTTAAAAAGCAACCCTTGATCAAGTTAGCCTGCAGCTAAGGAGGAAAATATCAGTGGCTAAAAATATTATTGCTGATTGTCACCGAATGTCTACGCTAGTGAAGGCTGAGAAGCAAATATGGGTTGCCTGTGTTTTCAGACCAAAGGATTTCTGCACAATGTATGATTTTAATTTACTAGTGTCTCTGTAAAACACATGCACTGTGTAGCAAATTGGGCATTTACAGCAAAATAAATGTCACAGAACCATAATAATAAAAATGAAGTGGGGGAAGGAGGGCGACTCAGCTGTTGGCCATTTCCAGCATGCCTTTGCAGAGCGAGCTGAACCACACCATTGTCTCTTCCCTCAAAGACTGGCGTCTTGTTTGCTAACAAAGGCCTCAGGGGTAGGAAGGAACAAATTGTAGTATGAAAAGCTTTTGGTTTTGTACATGTGGCATGATTTCTGTTGTAGTTGTGTGGGCAGCACTGAGGACTCACTGGAAGCAAGCCATGGGGAATCTTCAAATGGTGCCCGGCTCCTCCATGCCAGCGTCACCGTGGCAGGAAAAGATGCTGCAGGAGCCACGGCTTTTCTCCCGGCGCCACTGCCGTGCCTGCCGAGGGATGGCAGGGAAGGAGCATCAAATGGCATGTCCTTGGCTCGCTGCTCTCCCTGCCGAAGGTAGAGCAACTATGGCAGACAGGAGCAGCATGGGCATGTCTCCTTGGACAACACCACAAGCGAAAAAGGAGTTTGCTCCGTGATGAGGCATTGTGACAAATCAGTGACTGCTCTCTAACTAAATACACATAACACTGCACACAGATACAGTCATAGGTTAAAGAGAGGCCTGTTTCCTTGGAGGCACAGTGTACTCGGTAATCTGCCAGACAGATTATGTTTGCTCAATTGCAAACACACCGTGGGGATGACACACAATGCAGGAATCTCCCAGCTATTGGGTTTTTCCTGGTTTTCTCCCACGAGCTCTTCCCACGATGTGTTCAGGAGACAGCACCAAAGAGGCTGTCTCTTAGCAAAACACAGGGCACAGAGGGGAAATGGAGGCGGAGGCGGGTCAGCTAAATGCCTCCAGCCTGTGTCTCCCACTGCCACGGCACTGGGAGCTGCCATTAAAAGGCTTCTGTGCTGCTGAAACAGTGGGAGGAAACAAACTCTAAGCAGAAAACGTACTGTACGTGAAGCAGAGCACAATCCACAAAGCAGAGCAGTGCTTGACAACCTGACCTTGCAAAACCCACTTTCCTAAGAAACCCTTCCTCTGGCGGAAGGCTCTTGATGCCAATTAGGTGAACAGAGTTTGCAGATGTGAGCAGGGTCAGGACGCTTCACAACACAAAGCTTGGGGTTAGGAAAGGAGTCAGACCACACAGAAACTAGGCTGCTGCTCTGGTTTGCTTTTGAGGGGAACATAATCTACTTGCTCCCAGGAAATCAAAAATAGACAAAAATAATTACCATTAATTGGCTGCCACCCTCCTCTGTTCAACAGAGCTCCAACTGTAATCACTGAGAGTTTCCCCCAGCACAGGTCCATCTGAACTTCTCATCTTGCCCACTGAAAACCTAACAGTCTCTTGTTCCCAGCACAAAACTTCCTTTCAGGTGCGCTGGTGCTCAGTAAACTCTACACTGTCACTAAAAACAACAGCACTGCAGTTCTTTTAAAAGGATTAAGATATATCTACAATTTTGACTTTTACTCCACAGAGTTTCAGCTTTCTTTTTTTCAATAACCCTCTAGAAAACATGAGTGTGAGGAGCTGCCAAAAATATGCATAAGTGCTTGTGGCAGCAGATTATCTACACTGAGCACCTATTCTGGAGAGCCTGGACGCACTTCCATCACCACCAATCACACCTATCTTTTGAGGATAACCCGCTTCGGAGCAAAAGGAACTGCTCATTTGGG